CGACGCTCTCAAGCAGAACGGCGCCGACGTCTTCCTCTGCTGCGATCCTTCTCGCTCCGGCCCCGACGATTTCCACATCATTTCTTCCCTCGACCACGTACACCTTCTATTCTTATTTTTTACTTACTTGTTTTTCTTCTTTTCGATTCGCTTCGGGCTTCTGATGTTTCCGCTGGAATCCTGTTTGGCAGGAGAAGTTTGAAGATCTCAGATCAAAAGGCTGTAATATGCTAGGTAAGGTTTGTGAAAGTATTTCTGATAATTAATTAGTCTTTTACGGAACCTAGACATTTGTAAAAATGACTTTGGGCCCGTTTGTTTCATGGGTTCATGTCAGTAATTTTAATTCTGAATTCAAGTTTCGTGAGAGAACCCGTTGGCGGGAATTTTTTTGATTCAAATCTTTTGTGGGAGAAAATACATAATTGAGTTTAAATGCGTGAACCAAACGGCCTTTAATAATAATGTTTTATTAGTAAATAATCTTTCAAAAACTTCTGGCGACGTGAGCTATCATGAATGATTACTTTTTACAAAGAACGATGGGCTAAAAATGAAAAATATCATTTTGTCAATTTCACTCTTTAGGGTAGTCATTCTAGCAAGTTCTGCAGGGAAGGGATGGATACAGAGAGTCATATGATTGTATTGTTGGGCAGGTCCACAATGTGTGTTTTCCTTGGCGAAGGAGCATAGGGCTTTACCTAAACAAGGGTTCACTTGTTGCCTTGCAATGGATGGTGTCAAAGTTCTGGCCTCTGGTTTTGAGGCTGATGAAAAGGTATCTTGCTTCTGGTACGTGAATTTTTGTGATAACATTTATACTTTCCAATACAAAACAAATACACTCTTTTGTTACTTGCACACTGGCCTAATTTATGTTACAATGTGTGAAATGCTTTGCATTCCTTGGCTGACTGGTCATTATTAACCAATTAGTACTACTTCCATGTTTCCCTATCTCACTGTTAGATAATATCTCATTGCAGGGTAAGATTGAAATGTTAGTAACAGCAATGGGGGGAGTTTTCCATTCTAAAGCATCTTCGGATGTTAGCTTTGTCATTGTGAAAAATGTTTTGGCTGCAAAATACAAGGTTGGTTACTTTTCAAAATCTTAAAATGATACTTTGTATAGTATTAGACGGTTGAGCTTCAGCTCGGTTTAATATCTTTATATCTTCAATTTTTCCTTTTCCATTCACCGTTAGGATTTCAATATGACCATATGGCTGATGTTTAAAATGATTTGTTCCACAGTAGAGTTACTGGTTAAGAAATGTTTGATTTGTTTCCTTGTTCTTTATGTTGAAAAATGGATAAGTCACTGCCTTTGTAATTCGTTGTTGAAAAAAGCCAACCTTTGTAAGCTTTCCATGTCTATGCAAGGTATGATTAGACACTTTGTCAAGAAACTCAGTAAGAGACAACCGTTTTCAGGTAGTTGACAAGTCATGTATCACCCTATATATGTTTCTTGTTCGAATACGGACTTTGATGTATTTTTTAAAAACTATACTTTTAGGAAGGGCTTAGAATCGTGGATCTCTTAACTTAATAGGATTAATAGGATAGCATTTTCGTATGCAGTGGGCTCTTCATATCTTGAAGAAACCAATTGTCACTGTTGGTTGGTTATACCAGTGCTGGAATGAGCATCGTATTGTTCCCCAGGAATCATTTAGGGTTCTTCCCTTTTCTGGATTGACTATTTGTGTCACCAGAATCCCAGCAGGTAGTTAAGCTAAGCTGTCTGTTGGTGCATCAGGTTGCTATTTTTTATTTCCCCGTGCTGCTAATTTTGCTTGTTTCTGTCAGATGAACGGAAGCAGATGGAAAAGACCATTACACAAAATGGCGGCAAATATTCTGCTGAACTTACCAAGAAGTGCACACACCTAATTTCAGATATATCCTTTCTTATGGTTTGTTCAGACAACACTTGTGGATTTGAATTCATGTCTAGTTTTCTAAATCAGTTTTATATGATACACACACACGTCTCATTTTATCAAGAGAGCTTTGAGATGCCCAAACTTATTTTCTATTGCCTGATCAACTTCTAAATATTGACCTGTCTGTTTTTGAGAGTCCAGTCACCTTTTTTTTTTTTTTTTTAATTTTTCTCATTTCTATATTTATGTTTATTTTTAATTTTCAAAAGTAACTGCATCTGCACCTGTTTCTTCCTCAACCTCTATGTTTCTTTAGGATGATATTTTTCAGTTTTATCCACAAAATGGTCAGTTAAACTTTCATGTGGTAATTGTTCATCATATTTCGTGGTGACAAACATGAATACTCAGCTTCCTTGTGGGCTTCAACTGAAAAAGCCTTCAAGGACCTGTCTGTTTTTGAGAGTCCAGTCACCTTTATTTTTTATTTTTCTCATTTCTATATTTATGTTTATTTTTAATTTTCAAAAGTAACTGCATCTGCAACCTCTTTGTTTCTTTAGGATGATATTTTTCAGTTTTATCCACAAAATGGTCAGTTAAACTTTCATGTGGTAATTGTTCATCATATTTCGTGGTGACAAACATGAATACTCAGCTTCCTTGTGGGCTTCGACTGAAAAAGCCTTCAAGGACTTTCCATTTCTTCAATTGTTCTGAATTAGATAGGTATGATGGGGGATGTGTTTGTGGAATTCTTGATAGGTTTATAATCTTTTTTTTTTCCTTTGAGAATCTCGTGTCTCCTTTCCTTTGTATTGATTTTAATATCAACAAAAGGAAATATCTTATACACACAACACACACCACACACACATAAGGAAAAAAACATGACATTTGGTAGAACACATTCGGACTTGATGTTTCTTTTTCCAGTTTGTAACTGTTTTATTATTACCGATGCATCTTTTTCATTATTTTTATTATTAGAGGCTATCTCAAATTATAGATAAATGTTATTCAAGTATACAAAAATTTGTACTCTTGACTGCCTGTAAGCTCCTGAAGGTGACAAATATAAAGTTGCCCGAAGATGGGGCCACATTCATATTGTTACTCGAAAATGGTTTGATCAATCTATCGCTAGAAGAGGTACTCTTTATCAAAATATCTGATGGAATTCGAATTCATTGTGCTTTGAGTGTTTACCATTCATACTTCTCTTCTGAAAGATCTAATGATTGTATTCGACCTTGAATTTATCCTTTTTTTTAATGGTGAATAGCATGTCTTAATGAGGAGTCCTACCCCGTTCATAGTACTTCTGTGTCTTCAAGTAAAGGTGTACGAGGTTGTGTAAAAATGCAGCTTAGCCAAGGAAAAGATATTGGCAATCTGCAGTCAGCACCATCGTCAGTGGCTACAGACACCAATTCAGTAGTGGTTCCTAGTGCTGGGTTTGAGGATCTAGACATGGAGGCTACTCTCTCACAAAACACGTCTCATACATTTCCAGCTGCTCCAGACCATGTGAAAGAGGGTGAAAATGTGGAAACTGTTTTGCAGCCCCAATGTGAAATAAACCTCACAAACCTTGATGGTTGTGTAGCTGATGATTCTCAATCTGAAGATAATGACCTCTACTTGTCAGAGTGTAGAATATTATTCATTGGCTTTGAAGCTTCTGAAATGCGTAGACTAGTTAATATGGTTCGTAGAGGTGGGGGTTCTCGATATGTTTTGTTCAATGACAGATTGACACATATAGTTGTTGGGACTCCTTCAGAGATGTAAGTTTTGCCAACCTAATGCACCTTTCCGTGTGTTTGACTCTCTAAGCATAGTTTTTCTTTGGTGCTGTTACAATTTCGTTTTTATTTTTAACATTGGGTCTACTGGGACACGTCCGCCAACTTAATACACCTTTTAATGTGTTTGTCTCTCTAAGCAATTTTTTTCTTGGTGCAGTTACAATTTCATTTTTATTTGTAACATTGGCACTGGGACTGATGATTGGAAAGCATTCGTGTTGCTGTATTTGCTTTGTGATTATCCTTCTAATAAGTTTATATAATTGCAGTGAAAAGAAGGAGGTAAGGAGTCTTGCAGCCTTTGGTATCATTCATGTTGTTAGGACCACCTGGCTCGAAGACTGTGATCGTGAAAAGAAAGAGATCCCCGCTTACCAAAGGCACGTTGCGCAAGATTTACTTCTTCCTAAAGGTTTGCCAATTACTTTCTCAAAAGTCCCGCATTTTGTTGTGTCATCTTATTTCAGGTTTCTATGTATCTCAATTATTGTTGGAACCTTAATTGGTATAATGGTTCTTCTATACACACACAATTTCTGTGATACATGTTTGTTGAATTATCTAATCATACATCCTGATTTGGTGGTTTCTGAATGCTTTCCCAAAGGAGCACTTACGGGCATGACAGGTGTAAATCAAGGAAGAATCTCTACTGCTCATCTGAGCATTCCATCTAATCAGTCATCGGGACCAACAAGTGCTGAAACTGGAATGCCATTATCATCAGAAAAAGATAGAGAAGAAAAAACAGAAATAAACATGAAAGGTGTGAACTCAGAAATAAACATGAAAGGTGTCAACTCTATCGCAATGACATCAAAATCATTCCAACAGAGTCATCTTCCTGTAATCAACGATAAAAGCAAGCGTAAACTAAATGATGAAAGTCAGGCTCCAAAGAACTTGCAACGTGATACAAGCGTTCAAAATGGGAAGTCTTCAAATGTATTTATGGGGAAAATATTTGGCTTCTCAAGTTCCTTTCCTGAAGTTCGAGTAAGTTTTCAAAGTCGTAGTTTACTGGGACATTTTGCTGTTTTGTTTCCAAAAGTGTTCTACTTATTGTTTTCGGATCTCTTTTCCAGAAAGGTGAAATTGTTCAATGGATAAAACAAGGGGGTGGAGAGGTAGTTGATGCTTTCCTGAGACAGTGTGCACACTTCACTGTTGAGTGTCATGGCGTGAAACCGAAGTTGGTGTCTACTCCCCAAGCAACTTATGTATCAAGCCACTGGATCCGTTCATGTTTAGAGGTATGATGGACGACTTTAAATATGTTTTCCAGTTTCAAGCCCAAAAGAAAGGGTTTTCTTCTTTAATATATACTTTGGTTGGTTTTTTTGTTTTGTTTTGTTTTGTTTTTTTTCTTTATTTTTTTTGTTTTTTGTTTTTTTGTTTTGTTTTGTTTTGTTTTTGTTTTGTTTTTGTTTTGTTTTTGTTTTTTTAGTGCTAATGATGATATAAAACATTTGTTTTGAAGGATGGATGCTTGCTGGAAGTTTCTAGCCACATTCTCTTTTCTCCTCTTCCCTGTCAGATTCCTTTCCCTGGATTTGAGAACTTTCGGTTTTGTGTTTCACAATACGAAGGGAAAGATCGACTACTTCTGAAAAATCTGTGTTTTGTTCTTGGAGCCAAATTAGTAGAAAAATTGACCAAGAAGGTCACCCATCTACTGTGCAAATTTGCAATTGGAGCAAAGTACGATGCTGCTTGTAAATGGGGGATACATTCAATTACAACTGAGTGGATATATGAGTGTGTCAAGCAGGTATTACCGATATTCCGAGTGCACATATTCATATTGATATCTCATGTCTTTGCACGTGGGCATTCATTCAGGAGATTATCTTGTGATTGTTAGATGGACCGAAATATTTATGCTAACAATGTTCACTGTTTGGCAGAATAAACTTGTTCCTCTTGATCTGTTTTCTCCAAAAGAAGTTACTGCTCAAGACCAAGAAGCGGGGTTGTGTACCATGAGCCAGTTTCCTTCACAAGCTGTCCGAACGATATCCGGAGATAATCCCTCCCAGTTTCCCAGTCATTCAAGAAACATTAAAACATCACCATCTAGAGTCGGTGGTAGAAATGGCAGTGTCGGCGAAGGTGAAGGGGCTAAGCATTTAAGCACGCTCAGTAAAAAGGCAAGGCTCTTGGAAGATGAGGCTCAAACGTGTCTGCTTTCTACTGGGGTACATGGAAGTGCTCCCGTTTGCAACACAAATTCCAGGGATGATAACATGGCGAAGGATACAAATGAAATGTCTCATGTTGTTCCTGATGTGGCTGCTGCAATTGAGGACTTACTAGAGCAGACAAGCAAGGTAAAGTCACAGGGGATTCTTTAGTTGCTTTCATGATTTCAAGTTTATTGGTATAATGATATTCTGATTTATCTCTCATGTTTTCTTTTACAAAGATTCACGATCAGAAATCACCAGGGAGGACTGGGTGTGATGAAACTGTATCCTTTTCTCTGCTTTTCTCCCGTTTTTTTAATTTTGCACTATTATTATTCTTAATATTATTAATATTATTATTATTATTATTATTATTATTATTATTTTGCATCAATTGGAATCCTTGATGATAAAAACAGCTTTTCTCATCCACTTGTTCAACCGTCGGTCAAGATCATTCAGATACACATTCCATTGTTGGTTTATCAAAGCACTGGTTAAACAGGTGATGACTATATCTCTGATTTGCATTTTTTTCCCTCTTTGGAGCATCATATCAAATTAATGCAAGTTTTAGCCCCCGGACCCCTCTTCCCATGCAGTTCTCTATGTATATCAATATATACCACAAAGGTAATTGTTGTGGTAACTGACTACATGGCTCATTCTTGCCCCATGCATACACAGAAAGAGCTTTATTTATAAACTTGTTTAAATATCTTCTGTTCACTAACATTTTCAAATCTGTCGCAGGACGGGGAAAAAGGGTGACATCCATAATTCACCTGGAGATGGAAACACGGGCATGTATGATGGCTTCAGCGAAACACAGACGGATTCTCAGGTTGTCTTTTCCTCGTCTTTGAATACCGTTGTTTGCATTGATGAAAGAGAATTTCATAGCGTGTATCTGTGATCTATATTCCATGAAGGGCCATTGTTTGATTTAGTTATCAGGAAAAGATATAAACACCAGTTTCACTCGAAAACTGATCTCGTTCACAAGCCACTTTTATTTGTCATTGTGTTTTCCGTCCTGATGTTCGTGCTTAACGTTGCGAGCGCAGGTTGTTGGTTATGAAGAAGATTTGTCAGGCAGGCAAATGCTTATAGACCGGGTTCGGACCCGAAGTAGCATGGCTTGAAGGTGCTAGTAGCAGTAGTACAGAACAAAACAATCGGTAGTATCGGGTGGTCAGACAGTTTTGAATGGTATATCTGAGGTTGCTCTCGATGAATGCAAGGGCCGTATCTTTTGTCCGGCATTTGATGCAATATTTGGTGACCTTGGGGAAGGAGAAAAGAGTCAACAAAAGTTAAAAAGACATGCTTTATTAGCGTCTATATTCATGATCCTAAATGTGTGCGGATTTCGCAACTTGGGATAGCCAATCCTTACAGCTCCTGTAGCAGCATTTCGTAGGAAATTTGGGAACGTGAAAATTAATAGCTGTGTTTGGGGTTGTTTTTATTTTTGTTTTTCACGAGTTTTGAGAAAGAAAAAAATAAAAACGTTTTTAAAACGGTGGAAAATTAATAGCTGTGTTTGGGGTTGTTTTTATTTTTGTTTTTCACGAGAGTTTTGAGAAAGAAAAAAATAAAAACGTTTTTAAAACGGTATTTGACGTAATAAAGACAAAATACATAAATGAAAATGATTTTTTTGTTTAGTATAAAATGAAAAAGAAATGAAAAATGACTTTTAGTCGTTTTTTATTTTTTATTTTCGCTTTCTCCTCTCTCTAGTAGAGAGAAAGAAAAAGAGATATTAATAAGTTTTTTTATATTAAAAATAATATATTAATAAAATTATCAAACACATTTTTAAAAATAATTTTTATTTAAATTAAAAACGTTTTTATTTTTATATAAAAAATAAAATTAGTTTAAAACGAATTTTAAAGGCACTCTATATGTTTAGAGATATACACACTTCCAAAGTTATTTTTTTCTTCCTAAATAATTCCGAGCATCGTATTATTTTTCTTATTTTCTTTTATACTTTTTGATGGTCATATAGGCCCTGCGTAGGTCCCAGCTCAATACCCAGTCGTTGGCCCACGTTACCTTGTAGTTCTGGCAAGTTAGCAAGAGATAAATACCATCTAGTTCTAGAAACTAACCTAAAAAATGAGACCTGTTCGACATATATTAAAAAATTTAAAACATTTTACAAATTGAGAACATTAAAATCATAAAAATTCTAGGATAATTTACTTATTTTATAGTAATTTTTGCAATAAATATGCTGGTGCCAAGCGTGAAATAAACGAAGAATATCACTTGTGAGCAAGTAATTTGATGCCTAAAAACATGAAATGAGAAAATAAAACGAAAGAAAATCATCAACCACTAGTAGTGGCTTCAAAATTGTTTTTTTAATTTAAAAAAAGGGTCGAAAAGTACGAAAAATAGTCCCAATCCGAAATGCCTGATTGTTTGAATTTTTGGACCGTAATATCATCCACGGCTTTCATTATTTTCTCGCCATCCAAAAACCATGCTTACACATCAATAACACATTCCCCCTTCTCCCAAAAAAAAAAAAAAAAAAAATCCCCATGGTGGTGGCATGCTGCCTGGTGTGCCACTTGGCGGTGGTCGTCGACATGAATCGCTGTGCTCCGGCCACCGGAATTCCATTGTCGTCGTCGTTATCTTCTTCTTCTTCTTCTTCGTCGTCGCTATCATCAGCTTTTAAGCCTTCTTTTCAGTTCTCGGCTATTCCCAGACTGGTCGGCTTCGGCTTCCGCTTGGAGTTCCGACAGAGATTCCGGCGGCGTCTTAACTTCGTCGTCAGTGCGGAGCTTTCCAAGTCATTCTCTCTCAGCTTCGGCTTGGATTCTCAGGTCTCTTGCGCTTATTGCCACTTGTTCTTTCTTTTGATCTACTTCCTTTTTCAATCCCTAGTCCGAATTTTAATTCGCTTCTTGAGCTCGTTTTTTAACTTCTGGAATGGTATTTTGAAGAATTGAATCAGAGACTTTTACGAATCAAGATTTATTTATCGAATCTTTTAGTATTTGTGGCACTTTTATTGCACGTCTTGCATATCTTCTAGTGTAATTTCTGTGTAGAGTTTAGTTATTTATGAATTACTTTGACAAGAATATATTTAGCCTCTATTTGTTTCAACAACTCAAACCCAACAATTCAATTCAAATTTTAACCCATAGTTTAGGATTCTTGGTAGAGAATTAATGAGAACAGTTTAAACCATTGATAATGGTTCAGATCTTGAATTTTAGAATTTACCTTCCTCTTAATTTTTAACGATCCGAATTGATTCTACAGTGAAAAAATTCAGATCTGGCCTTTTCCTATCCTCAACTTTTAAGCTTAAAAATATCATAACTTCTTCGTTTTAATTCCGATTGAGATGATTTTTTTTAATGTCTTCATAATTAAGAGAGGAACAAATCCTATCCATATTGCATAACTTTTAATGTCATTTACAATGAGGTTTTATAAGATTTGTTACAAAACTCTAATGACGGTTATCGACATTTTATCTAAATACACTTTGGATTTTATTCCCAATTCAAATTACAGTTTATGTGCGTATCAATACACCGGTTCGAATCGCAATTCAAATCACTACAATTCAAACCAAATCACACAATCCTAACGGCGAACCAAACAATGCCTTATTCTTTTTAAGAAAAATCCTGGGAGGTTTTTCCTTATAGTTGAAGTCTTTTTACTTATTTCTTTAATTCGGTATAGAATCATGTAAATATGATCTCTTGTAAGCTTCATCAGCTTTCCACTTTCCTACTCGTTTCAAATATGATATCTTCCATCTTTCTTATCATTTTTTTTTAAAATTTTCTTATTATTATACTGGAAAGTATAGTTTGTTGCATCTCTCCCTTTGTAGGGTTTTCTTCTTTTTGTTCTTTTCATGTTTTCTTGTTTTTCACTTACTGATAGAAACGGTTCTCCAATTTAACCGGCTTGCTGTTATCTTAATTTGTTCCTTCCTAGTGGAAATTTGATTAGTTGATGCCTCTGAAGTGAGGGTGTTTATATATTTATTGTTTTTAAATCATTATCTGAATCTGTTTTTGTTTTCAATTTGAAGGCCTTCCAGCCTCCTGATCCATCACAGTTACGGTGGGTTGGTCCTGTTCCAGGGGATATAGCAGAAATTGAGGCATATTGTAGAATCTTTAGATCTGCAGAATGGCTTCACGCTGCACTAATGGACACATTATGCAATCCATTAACGGGTGAATGTTATGTTTCGTATGATTTCACCTCAGATGAAAAGCCAGCACTGGAGGATAAGATCGTTTCCGTACTCGGTTGTATGGTGTCCCTCCTGAACAAAGGTAGGGAAGATGTTCTTTCTGGGAGATCGTCCATGATGAACTCGTTTCGCTTTGCAGATGTAAATGCCATCGATGATAAGCTCCCTCCACTTGCCATTTTCAGGAGTGAGATGAAAAGGTGCTGTGAAAGCTTGCATGTTGCTCTTGAGAACTATTTGATGCCTGGTGATGACCGAAGTTTGGATGTTTGGAGGAAACTTCAGAGACTAAAGAACGTCTGCTATGATTCCGGTCTTCCCCGTGGGGAGGATTATCCCACCCAGACACTGTTTGCAAATTGGACTCCTGTGTACTTGTCCAGTTCTAAAGAAGAGCTAGGATCCAATGATTCCGAGGTAGCTTTCTGGAGGGGTGGTCAGGTTACAGAAGAAGGTCTAGAGTGGTTAGTGAAGGAAGGATGTAAAACCATAGTTGATCTTAGAGCAGAGAATATAAAAGATAACTTTTATCAAGCGGCCATAGACAATGCAATTGCATCTGGGAAAATTGAATTAGTCAAAATTCCAGTTGGAGTTGGGACTGCGCCTTCAATGGAGCAGGTTGAGAAGTTCGCGAGTTTGGTTTCAGATTGCAGCAAAAGACCTATCTATCTTCACAGTAAAGAAGGGATTCAGAGAACTTCTGCCATGGTTTCCAGATGGAGACAGTTCATGACCCGCTTTGGTTTGCAGCTCAACTCCAATCAATTAATCGCTCCAGATGCTGCATCGTTACAAGGGAAGAACAGAACAATAAAAGGGCAGAAGTCTTCCATTTCTGAAAAAGAGCCCCTCCTGGAAAACGAAATTCAGTCACTAAAAGAGACGTCAGATACAGTTGACGGTGTAAGTGCGGTAAATAAGGAAGACGAAATGAATGGAAGCTCTAATGGAGTTTACAATGACGTTATTTATAACCAAGGAATGACATCAGTAGAAACTGAAAATGGCCGGGACGTATCTCTGACCAACTCCTTCACTGAAATTGACCCGTTAAAGGCTCAGGTTCCTCCTTGCAATTTTTTCTCCAGAAAAGAAATGTCCGTGTTTCTTAGGAAGAAAAGGATTTCACCTCCTAATTATTTTAATTACCAGTTGAAAATGTTGGAGAAGTTACCTGTTTCAAGAGATATGTATATTGGGACAAAACAGAGAGGTGAGACTCTTGGTAATGATCAAGTAACTGGACTTGCTAAAAGTTCTAATCGATTAGACAATGGAAAAAAACTATCTCCAAAGCCCCAGAAGACAACATCTGGCAATGGGGAATATTTGACTGGTGCTAGTTGTGTTTCTGTTGGTCGAGTTGTGAATGGGTTGACGGAAAGTAAGGGAAATTCTGTCCTGGAATCTAATACATCTGTCACTGTAAGCAATACCTATAACGGGCATGTTGAATCTAAATTGGCAGAGGAGATTCAGAAGAGCAATGGTAGAGCCCCATTAGTTTCTAGTGATGATGAGATGGGTCCAGTTGAAGGAGATATGTGTGCTTCTACAACCGGTGTTGTAAGGGTCCAGTCAAGAAAAAAAGCAGAAATGTTCTTGGTCCGGACTGATGGATTCTCTTGTACCAGAGAAAAGGTGACGGAGGCCTCCTTAGCCTTCTCACATCCAAGCACACAGCAGCAGATGCTGATGTGGAAAACTACGCCAAAGACGGTGTTACTGTTGAAGAAGCTGGGGCCAGAGCTCATGGAGGAAGCTAAAGAGGTACCATTTGAAAATTGAATATATAATTTGTAAAATACTGCATAGAACTGAAGCAATTAAATGATTCAAAGCCCGAATTATGTTAATATACAAGTGGTTTTGAACCCTCTATGAATATGAAAGCATATTAAATGTTTATATTAGCAGAAGTGTGCGGCCACATTTTATGAGCATGAAAGTTGACGAACTGAACTGAATTATGGTTCTTGCCGATGCTGAATGCAAAACAGTCAATTATAGTTACTGAAGTTCTTCGAGATTGAGATGCATACTTTGATTTATTATTTGAAAATGGAAACATCTTAGTGGCATTCAGAGAAGGGACATAATGTCTAGCTCTAGCATTTTGCTCGTTAAGTTGATATTTTATTACTGTATTCTGCTGGTGTATTTAATGATATATATGCATTTCACTGATCTTATTTATTTATTCTTTTCTTTACTTTGTGTTATTTGTAGGTTGCGTCCTTCTTGTATTACCAAGAGAATATGAATGTTCTTGTGGAACCTGATGTCCACGACATATTTGCAAGAATCCCTGGGTTTGGATTTGTGCAGACCTTTTATAGTCAAGATACCAGGTATTAAATTGTATCCGAGTGCAAGAGGGCAACAACATTGAATATATATCCATTCCTATACTATAATTGGAATTTCCTTACCTTGCTGGATGCCTGTACCACAGTGATCTGCATGAGAGGGTTGATTTTGTGGCATGTTTGGGGGGAGATGGCGTCATACTCCATGCGTCAAATCTATTTAGAGGTGCTGTTCCTCCGGTTGTATCTTTCAATCTTGGATCTCTTGGATTTCTGACTTCTCATACTGTAAGATTCTCGACTTTTTTATTTTTTCATTGACTTATACTTTTGGAAGCTGCCATTCTTCTGATACTGTTATTTACTTCCTCGTACAGTTTGAAGACTTTAGGCAGGATTTAAAACATGTCATCCATGGAAATAACACACGAGATGGTGTGTACATAACTCTCCGAATGCGTCTCCAGTGTGAAATTTTTCGAAATGATAAAGCTGTGCCTGGGAAAGTATTTGATGTCTTAAACGAGGTTGTTGTTGATCGGGGTTCTAATCCATACCTATCTAAGATTGAATGTTATGAACATGACCGGCTCATAACTAAGGTGAGGTTAGAGTTTATTTTAGAGTTATTGCTTTCAGCTTCTTCCTTATTTCCTCAACTTTACCTGACAAGATTCTATGACGAATGATTCAATAATTTTTTAAGATATAGCTGCACCTATTAGTTAGCTACATCTTAAATGTCTTAATGTTAAAATGCGGCAGAGAGAGAGCTTTTGTATGATATTTCCACGTCTTTAATAGATACCCGGTTTTAGGTGCAAGGTGATGGGGTTATAGTAGCCACACCAACAGGAAGTACTGCATACTCCACCGCTGCGGGAGGTTCCATGGTAAGCCCGTGCCCTCAAATTTTAATTGATGTTTTATGATTTCTGCCATAAATTGGGGGATTTGGTTTTTCAGTGATGTCCATCGTAGGTTCTATGACTTCAAAATAGCAATTTCTCTTAAGAAAATCTGTTAAAATTTTCTGGGTGAAAATTAAAATATGAATTATTTTTTGGCTTTTTCTGTAGCCATTCTTATAACCTCAACTAAATCGTACCTCTGACGATGGATAATTTAAAATGTAGGTGCATCCAAATGTTCCTTGCATGTTGTTTACACCAATCTGCCCTCATTCTCTGTCGTTTAGACCAGTTATACTTCCAGATTCTGCACGGCTTGAATTAAAGGTAAACTCTTTATGTACCCATCACTATATTATAGTTACATTACATCTAGATATTGTTCTGTCTGCTCGTTATGTTATTGACTCGGCTAAAACTTTGAGTTTTGACTTGCTCTCGATTTGATCTCTCATTTCTTACAATGGTATTCCGTCTATGCATTATACCCGACAATTTATCTTTTGTTAGATCTAGTCCCTTCATTATTCCATCCTTTTCTATTTTGCAAGTTCAGATTCCGTCCTTTTCTCTTTTGCAAGTTCAGATACTCTTTCTTTTCCCCGCTTAAAGACCGATGAGACAGCTCATAAACCACTAAACCACATTAGTTGAATAGCACCCATATTTAGGGTCCGTTTGGTTCACATGTTCAAGTCAGTGATTCTAATTCATTGTCGGGAATTTTGTGAGAAGAAATTTTTGAATTCAAATTCGTTGTGAGATGAAAAACACTGACGCAGAATCAGAATCACGAGTTCAAGTATAGGAACCAAAATGGGCCTTAGTTACTTGCACTTATAATTTTTCTACTAGGATTTCACATCTATTCTATGCAATTCTACCTGGAGAATCCACACTGTCATCGCAGAAAACAAACGATCATAAGGAAGCCTGAAACATTATTGTGTCTGGACAGATTCCAGACGATGCTAGAAGCAATGCATGGGTTTCTTTTGATGGGAAGAGAAGGCAACAGCTTTCAAGAGGGCATTCCGTTCGGATATTCATGAGCGAGCACCCACTTCCGACTGTTAACAAGTCTGACCAAACTGGTGACTGGTTTCGCAGCTTGATTCGTTGCCTGAATTGGAATGAAAGGCTAGATCAGAAGGCTCTTTGAAATCTCTGAAATCTAGACTCAAGATTCATGTAAATTACTGTACATACTGTATATTGAGACTACAGGAATCATAGCTTAAAGAGTAAAATATTGATCATCTAGTGGATGATTATGCCTTTGGCCTTTTTTTTTTCTTTTTTTTTTTTTTTCTTTTTTTTTTTTTTTCTTTTTTTTTTTTTTTCCTTAACGACAAATGTAAGTGTATACCCCCCATTATACAGCAATAAAAACTGTTTTGCTTTTTTAGTCGATCCACTATCATTGCTTTTTAGTTAAATTTTTATTGATCACTTTGTGAGGTTATTACTTCAGTTCTCTGACACAAATTTTGAGAGAAGCTTAAGGGTTTGTTTGGTAGGAGGGTAAAAAGGATGAAGAGCATTGTCGTAATCTTTTATAGTGTTTGGTATGAGGGAGGAGAGTTGAGCGGATAGATAATGGTTGTTTATACAATCACTATATTGTCCATTTTATTATTTGGTAATAATTTCTTTTAGAGACTAAGATAGACTTTGATGAATCCTTCCATTACAGGAAGCATCCAAATTTGTGGGCGTAAAAGGAGAGCCTCTCCCTTTATCTCTCCTCTTTCTCCTCTCATCTAACCAAATAATAGAATTGTTCTCTCTCCTTCTCTCCCTCCTACTAAACACACTCTAAAAGATAAGAGGAAACACTCCCTTAATCACATGCCATACATACCTCGCTTCTTTTTTTTTTTTTTTTTCGTTGAGAAATGCTATGCATGACTCAATTGAACAATCTTTAGGGACGTTAGTGGTGTTTTAACATCACACATTATTGCACTAATAGTAATAGACACGTCATGGATCCCCGTGAACATCACTCGTCCCAAGCAACTTTCAAAGCATTGAGCACGACAATTTTATGAATGAGCTCTCTCTCATAGCCATATTTTTATTTATACTAGTTATAAATACTTGATCGCCCCGCGCGTGCATGCTGTGCTTTTTTTTTTTTAATATGAAAATCTAAATTTTTTTCTAACATTTATTGTACTTATCTATTACTCTTCTAACAGTTGAGTTCAGTAAAAACAAAGAGAGAATTTAGTAGAGCACATTTAAAAGGAAAAGAAAATTGATGGTAAATTCTTATGGGATATTTATAAAACATGTATTTGAGAAGTTATATGACAATAATGTTTAGACAGAGATAAATCTGAGAAAAAATTATTCAAGGAGAGCAATTAGTGAGAAATAATTATGAAGACTACTTTTTATAAAGAAAAATGTTTCGGTAACTGCACATTTTGAGAAAATTTATTTTATAAGATTAGATCAGGGTCCTCAGGAAAAAAATGTTTAATAAGGTTCGTTTGAAAAGTAACAAAAAAAAAATGCAAAAAAGCGAGTAAGTTAAAAATGAAGGACTAAAAGATGTCAAGACAAAAAAAAAAATGCAAAAAAGCGAGTAAGTTAAAAATGAAGGACTAAAAGATGTCAATGACTAAAAGCTAAAGTAAAAGGTAAAAACAGACCAAAAAAAAGGAAGTTGATCCACAAATTGTTGTTATATATATGCTGAAGATTATTTATTTAGATATAAAAAATACATTAGATGGTTTCAAAAAATATATATATTTAAGTAGGGATATATATGTGAAGAAATTATTCTAAGGTACATATATGTGAAGAAATTGTTCTTACTGAACAATTAGGAAAGAAAATGTTTATTTGAATCACATTTGAAAGACGAAAAAAAGAATGCATAGTGGAGAAAAAAGATAAAATTAAATAAGGGGATAGGAAAAAAAAATGAATGACTAAAGAAACAAATTAAAAAGAAATGAAGACCAAAAAAAAAAGAAGAAAAGCAAAATCATAAATGTTAAAAAAAAGGATGAAACGGGAGAGCTTTTAGATTTAGAAAAAGATGTGTATGACTAATAATATGGATATAGATGTATAGATTCTAAGTGAGGAAAAAAACATTTTAAACAATTGAATAAAAAAATTGAGTTGTACATAAACTTTCGACAAAAAGGAAAAGACTAATAAAAAAAATTAAGTTCGGAAACATACAAACATAATATACAAATTTTTTTTTAAAGTTCAACACACAAAAATATACTAAAAGGGTAGGTAAGTAAATTTATAACAATTTATTCCGATTCTGAGTGTAAGTAAACGCATGAATAGGATTGGGATTAATTCCGATTCTGATTCCTGGAACCTAAGTAAACAACTTATTTTGACTCTGATTTTTGACTCCGATTCCTACCCACTCCGATTACGGATAAGTAAACATGTCCTAAAAGGGTATTTTACATTAAAAAAATGTGGTATACCTCTCCCATTCATCTTATTAACGTTGAGTTGACAAAATTACATTTAAAATTGTCTGACTAATGCGTTTTTTTTTTCCTCCTTTTTTCTAGACGTGTGATGCTTTTTCATCTAAAATGTTGGAATGCTTTTCCTTTTATATTAAAATTTTGAATAAAAAAGAAACTACTTTCATTTGCTAAAGCCATAATCAATCTTTAATTCTAGTATCTATAACACATTATTAATTAATCAATGCTAGTATTCCTACCCTCATTCATATATGCATAGACACAAACACACACACACACACACATATATATATATATATATATATATATTACTCTTGTACAAAGCAAATCTGAGTTGGAATGATTTGTTAAGCATCCCATCTTCATGACCTGAAGTAAGAAAGTGACGGAATACAAGAACAACAATTATATTCTAAAAGCAGATAGATTAACACCCACTCAAGCCTTCCATTTCTCTCCTAACAAACACCTAGTTAAGAGAAACAGAAGCTGGTAAGTTGTCCTTTTCTTTCTTTGAGAAAAGAAAAGATCATAATCACACACTAAAAGGAAAGACAAAAGACAAAAAAAATAAAATAAAAGGCTTTATACTGGTTATAATATGAAGACCAGTAGTTATAATAAATTACTTTTTTTTTGTTTGTTTGTTTTTAAAATTTGTTACATGGCTCTCACAGCTTGGAACCTTGGTTCCTTAGGCAGGAACTTCTGGTCAGCATAAACGTTCATGTAATCACCAAACACAAACTTTGGATAAGTCTGCAGATCCATCTCTTGGCTTGCCTTCTCCACCAATTCCGGCGCCGGGGCAATGGTGGCCTTGAGAGAGGGATTGTAGAAGGAAGCGACGGACCTCCTGTTCCCACTAGTGCCAACCAAAACCCGGTGCCAAACACTCTTGTACCGCCCATTGCTAAGCACCTCAATCTGGTCCCCAGTGTTGATAACAATGGCATTTGGCAATGGCTGCACGTCGATCCACTCGCCGCCTTTGAGGATTTGGAGGCCTCCGACCTTGTCGTCTTGGAAGAGCAACACCACGCCACCTGCGTCGGTGTGGGCCCGCAAGCCGTTCACCAGCTCTGGATGGGGACACGGCGGGTAGTGGCTCACCTTTGTGCCGAAGAAGGCCTTGTTGTCGTCGCCGTTGAATGCCGTCTTGATGTATCCTTTTGGTAACCCCAAGTTTTCATCCATCACTTCCATGACCTTTTCCGCCAACTTTTTCAGTTCTGCCTTATACTCCACCATGGTCTCCCTGCACGTATATTAATATGACACGATATTTTAATTGGCCTGATATTATTGGAGAGACATGAGATAAAAACAAGACAACACAGAGTCGAATCTTGGATACTAAGTCATGCATATATGTTTAGATATTACGTATGTAGATTTCGATGTAAAAAGCAGTAAAGAACCATATGAGATTGTGATAACCGGTTAGAAATTGTTACTTGAATCCGGGGGTTTTGGCGGGCCATTCAGTAGTAGAGTCGTCCATGAGAGTAAAGACATCTTCCCAGTCAGCGTTGTCTAACATTTGGCCATTGTTCTTCTGGGCAAGTTCATTCAACAACTTCACCGCTTTGGAGTTGTTGAAGTTGTCTTCTCTTTCGATCTTAAAACACTCCGAGCTCACCTTCTTCACCCTCTCCAGAAGCTCCTCTGAAATCCCATGGTTCACCAACTGCATATATATACATAATATAAATCATTATCAAAATAATAATGAATTTTCACGTGGAAAATAAAATATTAACATAGAATTGATTGCTTAAAACGACAAAGTTAAAGTATATATATATATATATGTAAATATATAGATACCTGGAAGAAACCCCATTCCTCACAACCGTTGGCAATCTGAGCCAAAGTTTTGGCTCTCTCCTCTCCGTTGAGCTTTGAGAAATCAATCACTGGGATTGCCATTTGATCAAATAGAACAAAAAATATAGCAAGTATAAAAGGTATGATATATTTGAGAGAAAGAGAGAGAGAGAGAGAGAGAGAGAGAGAGATGGAGAGTAGTAGTAGAGTAGATATGCTTATTGCAGTGTGGTTTGAGAAAGAAAAGGGGTTAAGCCTATTTATAGCAAAAGGTTTCCCACCAAATTGGATGTCAACCCACAATTTTTTATTTTTTTATTTTTTGTTTTTTGTAAGTACACTTTGCTTCATTTTCTTTCCTTTTCTAAGAAGTAGCCGTTAGGGTGAGGTGTGGGACGGTGACACATTACAATTTTAAATTCCAAACAAGGTCAATGCTAGCTTTTTTAAGGTACTACTACTACTATTATTGGTAACCCACAAGGCCACAACATAAGCCTTCTCTTTCAGGTGAGGCACCTCTTTTTTTTTTTTTTTTTTTTTTTTTTTTTTTTTTTTCTTTTGTTTATTTCCTTAATATAATGCCACATTAGATAGCTGCCATTTGGTTTCTGTGGGCCACCATTATATCCAATCATGGGGTCCACCAACCCAATAATGGGTAACATATAGTTATCATTCATTGGATATAGGCCTATATATAAATATATTATTTATTTATTAATATAGGTACTATTTTCACCAGACGAACTCAGCTCAGGCAATGCAAGTTGCAACATGGTGTGGGCTGCGATAAAAAGGAATAATATTGTTTTTTAAATCCATTAAATGGCTCAAAATTTCACTTGGCTGCCACATTATTTGATTCCATTAATTAATTTCCATATGCTAACATATTATAAAATTTTCATTCATGTGCAATATATATTCCTTTAGTTTTTCCTTGCCCATGTTTGTCCAACATCTTCTTATAAACTAAGCCTTCTTTTACTTGTAATGTAAACCTCTGCCGACTACGATTTGTAGTGTTGACTTATAACCGCAACCGAGAAATAGAATACCTTGTAACCCCCCTTTCTAATTTGACTTTTCACAGATCGGTCGACATGCTTTTGATGACAAGTGTTTAAATGTATATTAAAGTAAATACACTGATTTTTAGGCATATTTTTAGGATTAATTACGAAGGCAAAGGTTATGACTTTCATTAAAAAAAGCTATCATGATCATTTAGTTAATACATTAATTAATGTCATCAACTTCATATTTTTTGCGTCTTTATATGTCGAATATAATAAGGCCTCATACCTAAAGTAAAACTTAGTATCTATAATAAAAATTACAAGTTTTTGATTAGTTTTCTTGGAAATTGGCGTTTATCCTTTCTCTAGGGTGTTTTTTGCGTGCCACTTAAGGATGGGGCGGGGTTTGCGTGGTTTTCCTTGGGGCTTGGAGTTGGGGATGGGGGATGTTCGTGGGTTTTTGGACGCCTTTGATGCGCCGACGGACTTCTTATTTGATTGTGGGATGATTTAGAGGCCTCCATTCTCTTAATGTTGTGTTGTCTCTGTTATAAGGTGGGTCTCCGAGGGTGCTCGCGCCGATTGTGCATGCGTCTTTCGATCTGGTTCTCTGGGGTCCTGATGGTGCTTATGATCCAATGACGGGCAATTCAAGGAAGCCCATAGCTCCAGAAATTAGTGGAGGAAACAGATTAATATTGCATAACTGAATGACCCGAATAACTCCAAGTAGCACTCATAAAAAGGTCTTTACAAAACCATACAGCCAATAGGCTTCAGACAAATGTAAAGAAAATAACAGAAACAAAGATAAAATGCTTAAATGACAATTGACTCCCCAGACACAGAAACGACATCTCGTTTCATTCTCAGCCCTGCTTGTAATCTTTGAGCCACGTAGGCTCCCTCCTCTGCCTAGTGGATTTTTGAATTATTTGACCCTAGTCCTGGGCATTGCTCTACTCCACCGCTTCCACCACTTCTTCATCTTCTTCTAGACCCCTATCAAACTCCTTTCCCCTTTCGGCAACGACCTTGCCCTCAAGGTCGAACTGCGGATAGCCGGTGCAAAACTCCTGCAGGGGAACCCACTTAGAATCTTCAGGTGGTACCCCTTCCCACTGAACCAGTAGTTGCTCTTCCAAGCCCGTACCTTGCGGATGTGACGCGTGCGCAGGACAAACAATGGTTGGACCACAGGGTGACAGGCAATGGTTGTCTCCGGCAGTGGTGTGGGATGTAACTGGGCATCATGGCGGTACAGCCGTAGATGTGAAGCATGGAACACCGGGTGGATTCGGGCTGAATCCGGTAAAGCTAGATGATACGCAACCTATCCCACTCTCTCAAGCACGGTGTATGGCCCATAGAAATGACGGCGGAGCTTGGAGTAATTCTGTTGGTGTAAGGAGGTTTGGCGGTAGGGTTGAAGCTTTACGAGGACCTGATCACCCACGTTAAACTGCACATCCCGATGGCCGCGATCCGCTTGTTGTTTCATTCGATGGCGAGTCTGATGCAAGTTGTCCTTCAGCTGGCGGATGAGAGCTTCTCTTTGCACGAGTAAGGCATCCATGGCCTCCACGGGCGTGGTATCTCGCACATAAGGAGGAATGGCCGGCGGTAGGCGGCCATCTACCACTTGGTAGGGTGAAAAACCCGTCGATGTATGGAACGATAAGTTGTAGGAGTACTCGGCCCAAGGTAGATGCTGAAGCCACAGACCTGGGTTGTCCATGACAAAGCAACGCAGATACTGCTCCAAACTTTGATTAGTTACTTCTGTTTGCCCGTCTGTTTCGGGGTGGTGAGCAGTACTAAATTTCAGTTGGGTACTACTAAGACAAAGCAGCTCTCTCCAGAATAGGCTCATGAAAATCCGATCATGATCCGAGACGATGGTCTTAGGAATCCCATAGAGGCGTACAATTTCTGTGACAAATACTGTAGCCACCTTAACTGCCGTGAAATGGCTAGGTAAGGCCACAAAGTGAGCATATTTGGAGAATCGGTCAACGACCACCATTATGGCTGTCTTTCCTCCGGACATGGGTAAGCTCACTATGAAATCCATGGAGAGGTCCTCCCACACCGTGTTAGGGACTGGTAAGGGTTGCAATAAACCCGCTGGAGCCATAGGCTAGTATTTCGAAGCCTGGCAAATTGGACAACTTTGAACAAACTTTTGAATGTTACGTTTCATATTTGGCCAGTATACTGCTCCTTCAACCTATGCAGGGTTTTCCGAACTCCTCCATGGCCTCTTATCAAGCTCGAGTGGTACTCCTGTAGAAGTTATTGGCGTAAGTCCCCTTCTGCCGATACCATTATCCAGTTTTTGTAGAACAACAAGCCGTCATGCACACTGTAATACCCGAACCTTCCCACACTGTCGTGCTTACTATCGAGGTAAGGCTTGAGAGATGGATCCGTTGGTCACTCAACTCTGATTTTGTCCAAGAAGGCACTAATGGGAAAACTCACCGCCATATGACAATGGGCCTCTGCATGCTTGGGTAAGGTGGTAGTGTCTTTTCGAGATAAGGCATCAGCCATATTATTATAATATCCTGGATTGTATTCGATTGAGAAATCAAAGCCGAGAAGTTTGATCAAGAATCGATGTTGCTCTGGGGTCTGAATTACTTGGTTCATCAATTCCCTAATGCTTTTTTGATTAGTACGGATGGTAAAGCGAGTGCCAAGGAGATACTGGCGCCATTTGGCGACCGCTTCCGTGATGGTGAAGAGCTCTCGCACGTAAGTAAAAGCTTGCTGCATCTGAGAGTTCAGCTTTTTGCGAAAGAAAGCCACGGGGTGGCCATTTTGACTTAGCACCGCTCCAATGCCCACACCGGAGGCGTTAGTGTCGAGGGTGAAGGGCTGGTTAAAATTAGGTAAGGCCAGCACCGGCGCACAAGAAACTGCCTCATTGAGGGCAATAAACGAACTAGTGGCTTCCTCAGACCAATGGAAGGCATCCTTCTGCAGCAAAGAAGTTAGCGGAGCCGTAATTTGAGTGAAATTCCGCACAAACCGCTGGTAATACCGTGCCAACCCCAGAAATCCCCTCAACTATTTCACTGATGTCGGAGGCTTCCAGTCCACAATCGCCTTAATCTTCGCCGAATCAGGACGAACTCCATGTTGATCGACCACGTGACCAAGGTAGTCGACGGAAGAGCAACCAAAAAAGCATTTGGAGAGCTTCTCAAAGAAACTGTTTTTGTGCAAGCATTGTAAAACAGCCCGAAGATGCTCCACGTGCTCCTCCAGGGACTTGCTATACACAAGTATGTCGTCAAAGAATACTATGACAAACCGGTGCAGGAATGGCTTCAGCATTTCATTCATCACTCCTTGAAATGTCACCGGGGCATTCGATAAACCGAAGGGCATGACGACAAACTCGTAGTGACCTTCATGAGTACAGAACGTTGTCTTGTGTATGTCTTGCGGTGCCATGCGAATTTAGTGGTAACCAGCTCGCAAGTCTATCTTAGAGAACACTGTAGCTCCAAAGAGCTCATCGAGCATCTCATCCACCGTTGGAATAGGGAAGCGGTTTGGGATGGTGGCTTGGTTTAGGGCCCGGTAATCAACACAAAAACGCCACGAGCCGTCTTTCTTTTTGACGAGCAAGACGGGTGAGGAATATAGGCTTTGGCTATGGCATATCACACCGGTTGCTAGCATCTCCTTGACCAGTTTCTCAATCTCAAATTTTTGGTAGTGGGGATACCTATAGGGTCTGACATTGACTGGTTTTGTGTTAGGTTCCAAGTGTATTTGATGGTCAGCCATACGGGTTGGAAGTAGTTTGGTTAGGGCTTCAAAAACTGCCTTGTATTTGTCCATCACGTCCTGTAATTCCCCTGGAAGAGAGGCCAAGGAATTTGCTCCACGGTCGACAGTAGGGTCCACAGCTATTAATTGCAGACAAGTAGCTATTGCATCTTTCTGCATCCATTTCACCAATTGGTGCATTTGCACAGCCTTTCCTGCGACGTGTTGCTCCCCATGTAGGATAATAGTTTGGTCAGCTTGTGTGAATTGCATGGTTATTGTTTGGTAGTTCAT